ATGGTGATGGTGGTGGTGGTGGTGATAGTGAGTGGTGAAGGTGATGGTGGTGGTGATGGTGGTGGTGGTGATGGTGGTGATGACAGTGACTAGTGAAGGTCATGGTGATGGTGTGATGGTGGCGGTGGTGGTGGTCAGGTCTGGCGACAACCAGAGGTTCTTTCTGCATTTCTGACCAGCTCCTGGTGGAGGGTGATGCTCCTGGCAACTTGAGCATCAAGAATTGAGAGTGCCCTGCCCAGTGTCCCCAGCACAGTGACCCCAGCTCTCTAGTGTCCCTTCCTTCTCACCTGTCTGCAGCCAACCCTCTCTGATTCCTTCTCCTCAGCTATGAGCATGAGTCTTCTGAGCTGGAAACCCTCTTTCCCATCACTCCTTCCTCTGTGGCCAGCTTATTTCCAGAGCTGCCCCTTCCCTCACCTCCATTTCCTCTTTGCCCCCACCTGACCCTAATTCACCAGCAGACCAGCTCGACCTACCCTCCCTCCCTAGTCCTTCCTTCAGGCAGGACTGATGCTGTGACCCCACTGCCCTCTGGCCACCACTGCCTCCGTGACCCCACTGCCTCGGTGACCCCACTGCCTCGGTGACCCCACTGCCTCCGTGACCTCACTGCCTCAGTGACCCCCCTGCCTCGGTGACGCCACTGCCTCTGCTGACGCCACTGCCTTGGTGTCCCCACTGCCTCCGTGACCCCACTGCCTCCGTGACCCCACTGCCTCGGTGACCCCACTTCCTCCATCACCCCACCTGCCTCCGTGACCCCGCTCCCTCCGTGACCGCACTGCCTCAGTGACCCCGCTGCCTCCGTGACCCCGCTGCCTCGGTGACCCCGCTGCCTCCGTGACCCCGCTGCCTCAGTGACCCCGCTCCCTCCGTGACCGCACTGCCTTGGTGACCCCGCTGCCTCTGCTGACCCCGCTGCCTCTGTGACCCCACGCACTCATGCTTCCCTGCCCTCCCTTGTTCCTCCTTCTTAGCCTCCTCTCCCTTCACTTGTCTGGGGTGGTGAAGGAACCAAAAACTCTGGCTCCCAACCAACTGTTCCCAGACTTTTCTGAAATGTGCTCATGCCCAGGGTTGCCAAGTGCAGCAAGTAAGAACACAGGAGGAGGCTGCCAGGGCCTTGCGCTGCGGCAGCTGCCCTCTGTGGAGGCAGAAGAGCGCCCAGAACAGCACGAGGCACGTTTGTGGAATGCGTAATTCTCACAATGGCCACGAGATGGCATCACTGCCCCATGCTCCAAAAAAGGAAACTGAGGCATGGAGCTGGTCCCGTAGTCCCTGGTGACCCAGCCAGGAGTAGCAGACTGGGGACCCTCACTCAAGCCTGTCAGATCCCAGGGCCCCCCAACCTCTGTTCCTTCCTCTGTCCCTACTTTGTGAATGCCCTCTGGGCAGGGACCAGGGCTGGGAGCCTGTCAGCTCTTGGTCAGCTGACCTTGATGTAGGCCAGAGGACAGGCCACAGACTGCACAGTGCTGATGGTGCAGAAGCCCAGGATGCCACGGGCCAGAGGGACAGCGCAGGGACTCACGCGAACGACGTGGATGCTGCTGCGGGCGGCGTCCAGGGTGTCGTAGAAGGACCGCACCACCTCCCGGAACTCCCCGGTGCTCTCTGCCAGACACTCCAGCTTGTTCCAGGGCGCCTCCAGCGTCTGCTCCACCACTGACGTGGGGAAAAGGAGGTCAGCGCCGTGCCTGAGGCACTAGCCCCCGCTAGCCAGCCCATCCCACCGTCTCTCAGTCCAGGATGTAGACTCACAGGTAGGGCCTGGAGCTGCCAAGGGAAAGGCCAAACTGTGATCCCAGGGGCCAGCCAGAAGTGCTGCCAAGTGGCGGGCAGCACGGGCAGGGTGGGCCCCGAAGCCACGGAGGATGGTGCAGTCACCACGCAGGGCAACGCTCACACCATGGCATCGCTCCAGGCGAGCGCACAGCTCTGCGGGCAGTGTGCGGCGCCAGGGCCCCACCGTCTCCTCCTGAAGGTGGGCCTCCAAGGCAGCCTTGAGCGCCTGGTCCAGCTCCTCCACATCCTGCTCAAAGGCCGAGTGCACCACCAGCTGGGCCCTGCCATCACTTCCCCCATCTGGGGGGTCTCCTGCCTCCAATGGAAGCTGCTCCAGCAGGGACAGAGCTAGGGCTTGCCGCAGGGCAGCAGCCTCCTGCTCAGCCACCTGGCCCTGAGGCTCCAGTGACCGGTGGAGCGCCAGCTGCAGCGCAGCCTCCTCCTCCAGCCGCCTCGGGGCCCCAGTGCTGGGGGCCGCAGGCTCATCCTCCTCAGGCCCTGGGGTCGCCTCCTCCTCCGGGTGCTCCTGAGGCTTCTCCTCCTCCAGATCTGGAGGCAGCTGGTTCTCCCCATCAACGTCTAGGCCCTCCAGGGTGGCTAGCAGTTCTCGGACCTCCTCTGGGAGCAGGGAGAGGCCACTGGGTCAGGGGCTGGGCCCAGGAGGAGTTGGAATGGGTGAAAGATGGGGAATGAGTTTAGGGGGTGACAGGGTGGGCCTAAGATGGGTCATTAGACAGATGGGAGCATAGAGCAGGGCAGGGGTGAGGTCACGAGAGGGCCACAGGATGGGCTGCGGGCTCCCAGGTAGCCCTACCCAGGCTCACATCCTCCTGGTCACTGCCTGTACTGTCCGGGGCCCACAGGGCGTGGGCATGGCCAGGGAGCAGCGGGAGGGCCTCAGTAGAGTCCACCTGTAGGGAGAGGATATCAGGGCCACCGGCCTCTGGACAAGGGCAGAGGAGGCCTGGGGCAGAGGCGTAAGAAAGGGGAGGGCAGGGGTGGGACTCCATCTCTACCTCTTCAAGGCCTGTGTCTAAGGTGGCTGTGGCCAGGCGCTCTGTCCCAAAGACACACTGGAACTGAGCCTCCAGCCCACGGAGCAGGCGCTGCCCTTCTGGGCCCAGGAGAAACCTGGTGCTGCCCGGGTGCTCCAGGTGTAGCACATGGCAGCTAATGCTGCCCAGCAGGCTCTGCAGAAACTCCTCAGCCGCCTGGCAGGAGGCCTGGGCTCCGCACAGCTGCAGGGCCATGGCAGAAGGGCGGTTTGCAGGTTTAGAGCACAGGAAAGGCACTCTGAGTACCCAGTCGGAGGAGTGGGGTGAAGGTTAGGAGTCCTGAGGGGTCACTCACCCGAAAGCCAGTCACATCTGATCCTTCAAGTGGGAAGAGAGCAACGTCTCCCAGGCCCGCAAGAAGGTCCTCATGATACAGCTGCAGGAAGCGCATCGCGCCTGGCTCCATCGACAGCACTGTCTCCACCAGGCCCTCCTGCCCCAAAAGCCTCACATGCCCTGGGCTCACGGGCCCCGCCTGCTCCAGAGACCCCACGGCGATCTCCGGGGGACCCACCAGCCCCTCCTGCCCTGGTGAATCCATGGCAATCTCCACCAGGCCCTCCTGCCCCAAAAGCCTCACATGCCCTGGGCTCACGGGCCCCGCCTGCTCCAGAGACCCCACGGCGATCTCCGGGGGACCCACCAGCCCCTCCTGCCCTGGTGAATCCATGGCAATCTCCACCAGACCTTCCTGCCCCAGCGACCCCTTAGAGATCTCCAGCAGGCCTGCACACCCCACAGGCCCCAGGCTCATGGGCCCCTCCTGTTCCTGTAACCCCACAGGCCTCAGGATTACCAGCCCTTCATGTTCCAGAGACCCCACGGGCTTCGAGCCAACCGGCTCTGCCTTTTCCAGAGACCCCATGGGACCTGTCCTCAGAGAGGCCCCTGACTGCCCTGGTTCCTCGCCAGAGCTCACTGTCACAGTCTCTGTACCCTGCAGAGCTGTCGCCAGCCCTCCGGTCCTCAGGAGGGCATGCTCCATGGCCGAATGCCCCAGGGTGGACGGGTAGTCCCCTCCACGGGTGTTCTCAGCCAGCTCCTCGGGCTCCAGGGCCTCATAGTGGGGGACAAGGCTCAGCTCTGAGCCCTCTAGCCGGTGTTCCTGCTGCAGCACTCGTTCTGCCACTTGGAGGAAGGGAAAGGACAGAAAGCCTTCAGATTTCTGCAGGAGAGGGAGGGTCGGCTGAGTCTGCCCCATCTCACTCACCTTGCCACTCTTGGAAGGAGGCAACAGTGCCCAGGGGCCCGGGCAGGCGTCGCAGGCCCTCCAGGGGCCCCCCGCCACTGCGACGCTCGTTTTCCAGGTACAGCTCTAGCAGCAGCAGATCCACAGAGGCACCGTCCCCCACCACACGCACCGCCCGGGCCTGGGGCACCCGGGCCAGAGACACCAAGGCCCCCTCCAGGCCCAGATTCTGGGCCTGCTCCTCCAGGACACGGACATCTGTGGGGAATATGCAGGTCAGCTCAGGGCACCTTCCCTAGCCAGAACCTCAGCCCCCACCCCGCCTCTCACCTGTCTCAGAAAGGGGCTTCAGCAACTGGACCAGAGCCCGGTCTGGCCGGGGGCTGGCCAGGGCACGGCAGGGCTGCACTGGGAGCCCCGAGGCCTGAAGCAAGACCTGGACATGCTGCTCCAGGAGGTGGGGTGCAGTGCCAGGGGGCAGTCCCTGGAGCAGCAGGCGTGCAGGGGCTCGTGGGGGAGCTGGCCGCAGGCTCAGCTGGACACCATGTAGTTCATGACCTGCCCGGGCCAAGACCCTCTCCGCATCTGAGGGCAGGAACGGGGCAAGACGTCAGGCATCAGAACATCAGGGCACCCAGGCTGCCCCTTCAGCCATCCCGCTCACCTGCAGGCTCTCTGAAGGTGAGGATACCCCCACAGCCCAGTCTCTGCCAGCTCAACACAGGTCCCCCTCCAGAGCGTCGGCGGTTCTCAAAGTAGAGCGTGAGCAGCTCGTCTGGCACAGCAGGGGACAGTCCACGGATCTCCACTGCCACCCCCGCCTCTGCCTCCGCCATTGCAACCCTAGATGGGGCATCAGGTGGGTAGAGGAGCAGCCCACTCCACCCGTCCTACCCCTCCCAGGCCCCTCTGAGGTGTGCCCTCAACGCTCCCCCATTATGGATGGCCCCACACGCAGTACCTTCAGCCCATGGGCTCAGCCAGGACTCCCTCGCCTGCCCCTCGGCAAGCCTAACTCTGCACGGTACAGGAAAACAAAAGTGAAACTGAAAGCCGGGGGGAGGGAGGGAGGGAGCAGCTGGGCCCTGGCTCAGGCCTGGGTACTGGGGCTCAAATGCTTCTTCTCCTGCTGCAGCCCCAACCCCCAGCTGACCAGGAGGTGTTGGCCAGGTTAAACCCCTGGGGACCCTCCAGACAGCCCAGCCCAGCCCACTGGCCCCATCTGGCCCACTCCAGACCCTGGCTGGCAGGGTGGACATGAGTGTCCTCTGGTGGACCTCCACTCCCCTGGCCTCCATGGCAGGAAAGTGGCCAATCACTCTCCCCACTAAATCCACCAAGGGGCCTGAGTCACTGCCCCTCACTCAGGATCTCCAAGCCTCTGTGTCCATAAGACCTTCTGCCCACAAAGTACCGGATCTCCGGGCCCAGCCCCAGCCGAGGCTGGCCTTCAACGCCACCAGGGAACTTCTCAACCCTGCTCCTGGTCCCTCACACCTGTCAGGTGCAGAGCACAGGAAGCTCCCCACCCTTGATTTTCAAGAGCGTGGATCCCAGCACAGCCTCCCTCCGGCCTCGGGTCCTGCCTGGCCATTCCTGCAGCTTTCTCCCCCGCCTGCACCGCCTCATCTCACACCATCACTGGCATCGTCACAAGTAACCCCAGAAGGTGACAGGGTGACGGCACCACTGCATTCCTTGCTGCCACTAATCCTCACCACAGAAGGGGAAACGAAGGTACAGACAGGCTCACAGCAGCTCCAGGCCTCACACCTGGCCGGTGCCTTCAGAATCCACACTCCCACTTGCCACAAGCCCCCCACATCACCCAAGCACCGTTTGCTTCCAGCCTCTCAAAGAGCTGTGCCCACTACTGCTCTCCATCCCCCACTTCCCACTCACCCTCAGCCCACTAAAACCCAGCCTCACCCCTGCTATTCCTCCCTCCAGGGGCTGAGGCCCTGGCCAGCCTGCACTCCTAGCCCTGAACAGGCAGCACCTCTGCTGCCCCGACCCTGGCCCCAGCCTCCAGCATCTCATGCTAGGTATCTACACTAACCTCTTAACTAGTCTCTGTCTGCCACTCCCACGGTGGGTCCTCAACAGAGGGGTCAGGGTGGGCCTTGTAAAGTGACAGCTCCCAGCATCAGCAACAGTAAAAACCAAAGTCCTGGGGACCGGGCGCGGTGACTCATGCCTGTAATCCCAGCACCTTGGGAGGCTGAAGCAGGCGGATCACTTGAGGTCAGGAGTTTGATGCCAGTCTAGCCAACATGGTGAAACCCGTCTGTACTAAAAATACAAAAATTAGCTGGGCATGATGGTGTGCACCTGTAATCTCAGCTACTCGGGAACACTGAGGCAGGAGAATCACTTGAACCTGGAAGACGGAGGTTGCATTGAGCTGAGGTTATGCCACTGCACTCCAGCCTGGGCAACAGAGTAAGATTGTCTCCAAAAAAAGAGAAAAA